TTTTTGTCTCTCTCTCTAAAAAGGCAACGGCCTTAAAATTTCATCATCGATCTGATGGGGTCTGGGTGAGTAATTAATGGGGTCTGGGTAAGTAATTAACGGGGTCTGGGTAAATAATTAATGGGGTCTGGGTAAGTAATTAATGGGGGTCTGGGTAAGTAATTAATGAGGGTCTGGGTAAGTAATTAATGGGGGTCTGGGTAAGGAATATTGGGGTCTGGGTAAGTAATTAATGGGGTATGGGTAAGTAATTATGGTTGCTTAGGGGTTGCTTGCGGATCGAGCCCACGACTTTCCCCCTCGACGTGGCGGTGTGCCCGCCACGTTGTACTTTCAGGTAGTATTTGCTTCCCTCTCTCCCGAAAGAAAAAAAAAAAAAAAAAAATCCCCTCCCTTCCTCCCTTAAAAAGAAAAAGAAAAAAAACACAAAAATCTCCTCCCCTCCCTCCAGGTCGGATTTGCTTCCCTTCTACACGACTGATAACTAAATAGACCACCCTTGGCTTTTTTTCTTTTTTTCCATTTTTTCTTCAAAGGGCGACGACCTTGAGATATCATCATTGACCTGACCGGTCCCAGGTAATTCAGAATGAAATTCAGAATGATTTTTTTCTGTTCATCTGACGCTTTATCTGGATTTGAACTTGGGTCTGTATTTCAAAAAGGACAGTTTATGGGTGTAGTAGGTGTACCAACTTAGCTACTGTCTTCACCCGAATAGAACGCCCGGTCGGTCATTATAGCTGTATTTGGGCCAACTTCCAGTCTAAAGACAGCGATAATAACCGGGCGTTCTATTGGGGTGAAGACGGTAGGCCCGTCGCTCCCTTGACTTTATCAATGCTCCCCTACCGGTACGACTACATTCCCTAGCTCCCAAACAAAAAAAAAACGTCTACTTGCTCATCACCCACTATCCTCCTCCTCCTCCTTGCTCTCTCTTTCTCCCCCCCCTCCTTTTCCATGTGCGTGTCCATCTTACTGTCCTTTCACCTTCGATCTTCCCTTCCTCCTCCCTTCCTGCTCTCGTTCTCTCTCCCTATCTACAACATACATCTTCTTCTTATACTATCACCTCCCTTTTCCATATGTGCGTCCATCTTACTCTCCTTTCACCCTCAATCTTCCCTCCTCCCTTCCTGCTCTCCTTTTCCCTTCCCTATATACAACACACATCTTTCTTCTTCCACTGGGGGCTTCTTCCACTGTTATCTCCTCTCTCTCTCTTTGCGCGCGTTTTCCCGCAGTTTACCCCTTTTCGTGGAGAAGGTCGTTTACCCGTTCTTTTCCTTTCCGACCTTCACGATCCAAGCCCCCCCCTCCCCCCCCCTCCCTTAACAATTTCTCCTTCTCTTCCACATGAAATCGTTCTTCTTTGTCCTTCTTCATCCTTCTCTTCGACCATCCTCCTGCCCTCCAAGTTCCTCCTTCCCATCCACGATCCCTACTCCTATTCGTCCTCTCCCTCCGTCTTCCACCCTCCTCCCCCTCCCCCTCCCTTAACAATTTCTCCTTCTCTTCCACATCAACTCGTTATTCTTTCTCCGTTCTTCTTCGTCCCTCTCCCTCTCTTCCACCATCCTCCTGCCTTCCAAGTTCCTTCTTTCCGTACACGATCCCTACTCTTATTCGTCCTCTACATCCGTTTTCCACCCTCCTCCCCCTCCCCCTCGCCCTCCCTCCTCCCCTCCCTTACAATTTCCCCCCCTCCTCTTCCGCATTAAATCGTTCTTCTTCGTCCTTACTTCGTCCTTCTCTTCGACCATCCTCCTGCCTTCCAACTTCCTCCTTCCCGTCAACGATCCTCCTCCTTCCTCCCTTCCAATTTCTCCTTTTCTTCCTCGTCCTTCCTCCTTTTTACTGCTGCCCTCCGTCCTTCCTCGTCCTTTTTACTGCTGCCCTCCGTCCTTCCTCGTCCTTTTTACTGCTGCCCTCCGTCCTTCGTCGTCCTTTTTACTGCTGCCCTCCTTCACGTCAACGATCCTCCTTCCCCTCTCTTCCAATTTCTACTTTTCTTCCGCGTGAAATCGATCTTGTTGGTCCTCCCTCGTCCTTTTCTCCTCTTTCCTTCTTCCCCTGCTTTTTTTCAGTGCTTTCACTGAGAAGAGCTGAACAACAAGAGAGCGGCCACCTAACCTAAACCTATATGAACAAAGAAAAACGATAGAGTAAGGAGGAGAAATGACGGCCAGAGAGAGGAGAGGAAGGAGGCGGAGAGCGAGGTCCCGAAGAGCCAGCGCGTGGTACGGAGGAAAAGAGGGTAGAGAAGTCGAGGGGAGGAGAGGGAAGGAGAGGGGAGGCGAGGGAAGGACAGGGGAGGAGAGGGGAGATGTGCAAAAGGAGAGAGAGACAGAGAGGGCCGGGGGAGGGGGTGAGGGGGGGGAGCAAGCGAGAGATGGGCCAAGCTGGTAAAAAAATAGGGACGAGTAGAAGCGACAGGACGAAGAGATCTGGAGAAGATGATGAGAGAGCCGCAACGTTAAAGAAAAAAAAGGGAGACAGCAGGCGCAAGAGGGAAAGCCTAGAATGGGGACTAACAGAGGAAGCAAGACGTGCGCGCGAGGGAGGAGGGAGGAGGGAGGAGGGGCGGGCAGCAGGGGCAATTCAGAAAACGCGGTGAAAAAACAAGGGCGAGAAAAAGAGGTCAGGAAAAGAAGGTGGGAAAGAGGGAAAATTCAAAGAGACGGGGACAGCAGGGCAAGAGGGAAAACCTAGAATCGGGAGTTAAAAAAAAAAAAGCGAGGACGAAGGGTATGGGCGCAAACAGCGAACTACAAGAGAGCGGGCAAAGATGCAAAAAAAAACGAATCCGAGGAAAACATCCATGGCTGGGCAAGATGGAAAATGCACAAAATGCACAAAGCGAAAATGAAAATGAAAATGACACCAATGCCTTGCGGCACTAATCGCTACGCGCGTACTAATCTCAGCTCACGCGCACAATCCCCGACGCGTTTGGATCGGTTGCGCTGCGATCATCTTCAGGGGCCTTCCCTCATACCCTGCCTTGCGGCACACCGACAGACCTCCCTTCCTTCTGAGCATCGAGGGCCGATAGGGCCTTTTTCCCTCTTATATATACTGTATTTCGTATTTCGAGGAGAAAGCCTAGCCCGCACTGCACTCTCTCTCTTACCAAACGGGCACTTCCACGAGCGAAAACAGCGGTGATATACTGCTTCTCGCACATGCTTCTAAGTAAGAATTGAATTGAATTGAAGTAGCGAGGCCAATCGCTACGCGTCCATGTCCATAGGGAAAGCATGAAAGCAACTACACGGACAAGAAGCTCAATAGTGATAAACAGAGGCCATAGACTGTCCTGCGTGCATGCTTCCAAAGAAAAATCCATGCTCAACCGGTCGCACTGCCCTCAGAAGAAAAAACGCGCTACTTGCCCTACGCAGTTTCACCCACGAAGCGCACTTGGCACCCATATCAGGGGCCTTCCTCCTCGGATCCGCCTTACTGCACCCACTGCTTCTCGCAAATGCTTCTAAGTTAGCAGAATTGCATTCTCACTCCAGACAACAATCTGTCCGTCCGCACCGATCCAAGGATCGAACACGCGACCTCCACGTTAAGAGGTAAGTACTCAACCAAACGGCAAAGTAAGAAGAAGAATAGTGATAAACAGAGCCCATAGACTGTCCTTCGTGTACGCTTCGACAGAAAGTTCCATGCTCAACCGCTCGCACTGAGCTCAGAAGAAAAAACGCGCTCCTTGCCCTACGCACGCTTCAGCCAGGCAGCGCACCTGGCACTCATATCAGGGGCCTTCCTCCTCTGATCCGCCTTACGGCTCCCACACCTGATCGTTGGATCCGAGGAGGAAAGCTATTCTCAATGGCGTTTCTCAATTCTTCTTCATTGCTCAGCGGCGGGCCTTCCTTGTTTATCAACCTGCTAACTTCTCCTCGGAGGACAGTGGCCTTCCTCCTCGGATACTTATATATTGTCACACTGTAAATCGGAGCGCAAAGGCAGAAAAAAGGAAAACAAGGAAGGGAAAGAAAATAGCAAGGAAGGAAAGCCCCACCTGTCCATCACCTCCTACGTACAAGGCCAGCCACGTGGATGACAGGTTGAGCGCTGGCTGCCCCCATCCCCGTGTGTCACAAGGACCCACTTGCACGCAGCCAAAAGGCAAAGAGGTAAAGAAAAGGAGGAAACCAGACCTCACAGAGGCAAGAAAAAGAAAAAAGGATCCAGTGAGAGAAAGGGCAAGGGAAGAGGAGGGAAGGCGTTATGAGCCAAGCAAAGCAATTGACACATCCCTCAGATAAACCAATTGGCACTGTCACAACAAAGTTCAACATATTTTATATTTTTCCTTATTTTCTTTTTTCTTTTTTTCTAAATTTTTTTCTTTTTTTCTTAATTTTTTTCTTTTTTTCTTTTTTTCTTTTTATATATACATATAGAGGAAGACCCGCCACTGAGAAATGAAGGCCTCATTGAGAAACGCCATTGAGAATAGCGAGGCCAATCCCTAACAGTCCACGTATATAGCAGAGAAAAGGCCTCGCTGCACTGCTCAGCAAATGCACAAAAGACAAAAAAATATGGAGGGAGGTGTGTACTTTTCCATTATTAAGCGGAAGATTCATTCTCATTTTGCACATTGGGTGCGTGGTGGAGCGAGGCGCTAAGTTGGAGACGCTAAGTTAGACAACAGAACAAAAAAAAAAGAAAAAAAAAAAGTTAGAAAACAGCAAGCGCGTTGACAGAGAATAGATAGTAAAAGGAAAGGAATGGAGAAGTTATAGCCGGTTGAAAAACAAGGAACGGAGAGAAAAGGCGGGGTGGGTTATCGATTGCTGACCTTTTTCTTGGTGGTTTGATGAGGGGATTGCAGCCGTCCAATGATCAACGGAAGAAGTTTGCTGAGAACTCTTTCCAATTTACTTTCGTCAGTTAGCGCAAGTCTCGTCAACAAGGTGTCCAATGCCTCTTCCTCTTCCATTGCGTCGGGCGCTAGCCCACTGCTTGTGCTCGGCGTCGCCATCTCCATAGCTCCCCTTTCCCCGCTTTCTCTGTCTTCTTCTACCGACGCCAATCTCTCTCTCTCTCTCTCTCTCTCTCTCTCTCTCTCTCTCTCTCTCTCTCTCTCTCTCTCTCTCTCTCTCTCTCCT